CCGGGTCGTGTCGGGTCAACCCGGCAACCCGCCGGGTCGGGTCCGGGTTCGGATTTTCGACCCGTTTCTCTACCCGGGTCAGGTTAGGGTCGACCCGTTTTCCACCCGGGTCAGTTCGGGTTCGACCCGAACCCGACCCGTGACCCGAAATTGACACCCCTAGTTGTGATATTGAGAAATTCTTCATTTTTTTATCAATTCTTAATTTAATGCAAAGAAATTTAAATCTAAGTTTAAAAAAATTATATAATATTTATTAACTAAACTAAACTAATTTACATTTAATTTCACCTATGTCGAATCGGACCTATGATTCGACCTATGTCACTGATCAAATTAAGTTGGCCTAGAAGGATTAATGCATGGAATTCACCGCAAGCACAATCAACATGCTTTTGAATTCAAGTTTTGGTTAAACCAAGTCCGTCGTAGGAAAAATTATTACATGCAATGTCCAGACATGTTCGGAAGCCAATTCGGATGCACCACATCGCCCTATGCACAGTGCATTGAATGACGTTGCGCGTACGGATTAGCCTCCAAACGCATTTGAACAACATAGAGTATTCTCTTTGGCCCTAGGGCCAACTAATGAAGTTGCTCGAGAATCAAAGTTACTCGCTCAATTTGCTAAAACAATCATGGTGGTAGAATCAAAGAGTTTATTATTTTTGCATTGTTTGAACATATAGATAAGAGAAGGGGTACAAGTGACATCTGAGTTTTTTTTAGGAAAGCTTGAAAAGGGAAAATACCGTGGGGCCTAGCACGACTGAAATTATTCCACTAATGATTTTTCATTGGTTAAAAATGATACCCTATCTTGTGATTGGGAAATGTTAAAACAATATTATACACATAAAATGTACATAATGAATCCATGGTGAAAGTTGGAAAAGCCATATGACGTAGGAGCTATCTTCTATAGATCATTTATTGAGTTTTTGGTCATACTCCATTGAGGAGGGGAGCATAAAGACCAAAAAATTTAGTATAAATCATTATATTAACATAGAGAGTCAATGTTAATGTTGATGGAGTGCATCGATCTTATAATTGATTATATGTGTTGACATTGTTAGTGATGGTAAGTGATGAAGTCAGTGGGCATTAATATAACTACTTTTTTTTTTGTTAAAATCCACCAACGGGCCTACGCGTTAATATAGAAAGGAAATACAAGATCCTTAAAAGGACCTCCAGCTCACAACTACTCTAACGAGCTACAAGAGAAAGCAAAAAATATCCTAAGAGCCGGAGTTCCAAACTAAGCACAATTACAATGCAACCTAATAACATTCTAAAAACTCAAAAAAGAAGGAAAAACTTGAACAGGTTGTGAGCTCTATATGAATGGCCAATATTCTCAATAGGAATACCAAAAAACTTAGCCATATAAGAACAATCTTTAAAATAAGTGAAGTTAATCAAATTTGCTAAGTATAGTTGCCTAACTTTGTCTTTAATTCTGATGGTAATATTCGAGGCATTCATAGAAATGTTTTCATGCTTAGCTTCATTCCTATTTTTCCATAAAAAACAACATATTATAATGGGTAAAACATTGTGAATATGCTTTTTATTAGGGCCCATCCAATCCTGCATG